CAAACTCAATCCTAACGCTGGAATAAGTAATCAAGTAAAAAGCCTTTCAAGCCATCATTTTCCAGGCCATTGATCAAAGGCAAAAACAGACGTCTGAATCGAACATTAACATTCCTAGTTGATGGTTTAAATATCTTGGATTGACAGATAGTCACTTTATTATGATATCAAACAAAGAAAAGCCGCACATCGCCCACCTCTCGTGCAGCTTTCCATCTCAACGGGAGGACAAGAGGAGAAAAAACAAGGTCGTTTCATGTGACCCCTGACCTATTTTTAGTAGGAAACAGCTGTTCACATTAAAGGGCCTCTATAATAAATCAATCGGTTGCCCGTGGCGCCAGTAGTGGTAAATTACAGATCGCTGACTTCACATCAGGGGCATTTTTTAAATAATTAAGTGGCAGACGGCCGTCCACAGGAAACAGCACACAGGAAATGACATTTCTTTTTTACTGATCTCCCATTGGCTGGTGTGAGGTTTCACTATAAAATCTACATATGATCAGATAAAAGTGGATTAACTCTTAATTTTAAGCATATTTTGTCCCTAAAGTTTGTCATTTCTATTAAATTCAAACAATTGTTGGGATATTGCATTTTATATAAAATGTTGGTTTTTCACATTATTTAGAGGCTTTAAATAAGCCCAATGAGTGATTGCACTGTTTGTTATTCGTTACCAGCTGTGTTTGTGTATTATTAAATGGTGCAAAACCATTAAGAACCAAACCAATAAGGAGAAGGAGAGAAGGAAGCCATCTTGTTTTCTTTACAGATTGATTAGTGACACCGCAATAAACCGTATTTAATTTCGTTTTAATTTACATTATTTTATTAATATTCTGTTCTTGTACATTTCATATTCTATTTACACGTATATAGACTTCTTGCACTATTTTGTATTTTTGTATTTATATATGTTGCATCGTTGAAGGAGCTCAGGTCAGAAGAATTTCATTACCATTTGTACACTGTAGCTAACAATAAAACCTTTGAACCTTGAATCTTAAGGCCAGGGTAGAGACACACAGCAGGGTGGGAGAAACAACAGAGATAAATAAAGAAACAAAGCGAGGAAGAGGAGGCGTGTTTGCTGCCTTTAGGAGGTAAGGAAGGATGGATGGAGGGAAGGAAAAAGGGAATAAGGGAAGGGGGGAGGAGCGTGGCCAGCTGGAGAGAGACTGGATTAGTGAGGAAGGTGTCAGCCAACACAAACGTCTGAGTCCTTTCAGAGCGAAAACAGCTTTGAAATGACCCGCCTCCACCAGCAGGGCGTAATCTCAAACTCTGATAACCGTATTTAACATCTCTAACCGTTATTTTCATTATCGAATCATCACTGGTCAGGAAAACGTCAGAGAATAGTGAAAAATGGCCATCTCGGTTCCTCAAAGTCAAAGGTGATGGTATACATCCACCATTGCTCACAATTAATGATCAATAAAGTACTTTTTATCTTATCTTTAATATCTTGGATTGACAGGTAGTCACTTTATTATCTCCGTATTTGAGGGGCTAAAAACAGGAAAACTTCAACAATATGCTCTCTCTGTTGATCGATCAGTCGACTAATTTTACTTCCTGGACCACATTCAAGCTGTTTTCTCAAATAAATGTAGATACGGACATTATCCCGGGTGACACTACGGGAGATGGTCCGTGTCAGAAGCGTTCCTGGTTGGTTGAGGCGAGGGATGGGACCCCCGACATGATTCAAATTACACAAAGCAGGCATGCATTTTGGATATAAACAACCAGGTCTTTTGCCCTTCCTTGAATGCGTCCGACGCTTTTAGAGTCAACCCTTACAGACAGAAGTAGTCCCCAAATCTTGCTGTTGACAATTTTGATATTCAGAGTCTGGTAAATCTCCATAAGATAAGATGGAACTTTATTTATCCCCTAAGGGAAATTCAGGTGTTTAAAAAGTTGTATTTCGTTGGCCTCTTCTTGTAAATGAGTCCTCAGATGTTCATTTTATTTTAGTTTAGAGCAATCAAAAACAAACAGGGTAAAGTCTATTTGATAACTTGAATCGGAAATGTGTGTCCCAACATGCATTGAAACTAGCCGAATAGTAACTTTCCAGAAGCACATGATATATCTTACGAAAGAGAGTATTTCTGGGGGTCAGTCTGGGAAATCTGTATAAAAAGGTATACGTGTTTGTATTTCGTTGACCTCTTCTTGTGAATGACCCCTCATCGTCCCCTTAGATGTTTATTTTCTTTTAGTTTAGCGCCATCTGTGATCAAAACATCAACATCAGACCGGGTCCATTTGATAACATGTTCTACCCAGAGTCAGAAACTCTAAATAAAAGCAGTAAGGACACTTTCCAGACTGAACAAAGAACAAGATATATCTCACGGAAAGCACAAACTGCTCCAGTGAGTATTTCTGGTGGTCTTTCAAACAACCTCAACAGGTGTTATTCATGCTTTCCTTCAGGAATGACTGAAATATGTCAAAACGGAGCAGAGACAAGTGTCTGGTCTCCACATGCTTAGTGTTTACTTTACCCCTGGTTGTTTAGTTTTTAAACGTCGGGGCATATTGTCAGGACCCTGCTCTGCTTCCAGCCATGTTTGTTTTATTTTTAATGCACGGCCAGGGACATAAAAGGTAAAAAAGCCTTGGAATTTGCTATCTATAGTCCAGGCAGAGCCACCACTCGCATGACGGACCAATTCATATCAAGTGTTCAGATACGTCCCCTCCACATAAGGGAAGTTAAATGTAACGTTAAACTATAGATACATCGCTATTCTAAGCATGAAGCTAAAGCCACAGCTGATAGAGACACAGAGACACAGATAGAGGGGGACAGTTGTCTAATAAAGCCTATATAAGACATCATTGTGGCTCGATATTATCTATACAAGGGGTGTCCAAACTTTTTTCACGAGGGCCACATACAGAAAAATATACTAAGGGCTGGGCCACTTATAGAGGTGAGGTTTATTGCTTCGTAAGTGAAGTTATAAGTTAGCAACATGGAGGTAAATTAGGATCGATACATGAAAATGCTTTAAGAAACACAACCGCCTACATCCCAGCTCTCCAGAGGGCTTCATTTATCTTGTTGGCAGCTCATTCCTTACAACAAAAGCCTCAGATTGATTATAATAAGAGGAGATATTAAGGGTTTATTTCAAGGTTGTTATGTAATTAAGTTATTGGGCTTTTTTCTTATCAACTTAGATTTGTTAGAAAATGTTCTCAACTTTGAATTTATTTGAAAAGTGGGCTTATTAACACATGAATACTACTGTGTAATATATGTTTACATATATTTAAGAAGTACAATATAAGAAAAGCACAAGGTTCATATTTCACTCCAGTTTTTTAATTTGCCGAGAGCCGATTCAAAATGGCCCCCGGAGCGTAGTTCGGACACTCCTGATCCATACAAATGACTGCATTCCCGTCATTAAGTGCAATTAATGGGAATAGACGGAGGCAGAAGGGCGGAGAAAAGCCTCATTGATAAGAGTAAGAAAAGCCCTTTGTTTGTGAACTCAACAATACAAGACAGAATGAGTGATATTTTTCCATCTGCGGAGACGTTGTTACGACATTATCGCCATGGCATGTGACTAATCCAACAGCAGTGCAATAAAGAGATTAACCAAAGAGGACACAAAGCAAAGCACTGTGTATTCTCGTTCTGTGCAAATATATGACTGTTGGTATGTCGGATCAGATTAAAACATGATTTCAGCACACTTAACACACTGACCCTTAAACACGACTTTAATTAAGTGTATTATGTGAACAAATGTCACGAAACTGGACACGGTTAGTTGAAACCTAACCCTTTTATTTAAACTACATATTATTGCTTTCTACTAATACAGTTATAAAGTGACATTTCTGGACAGAATTAACACTGAATGAAAGTCAACGTTGAAGTGTTGTCCCTTTCCTGAGCAGGTAAAGAAATAAATGTCTGACTTTTCTAGTAAATATCTCGATATGAGAGTCTCAATAATAAGAATAAATACTACAGCGGGGGAAAAAGCAAACACTCGATGATTGATATGTCACTTAAAGCTCTATTTACTCGGAGAACAGTGAGACGAGCTCCTTAGCGAGAATTATTACAGAGAGCCGACAGTTTATTAAAGCAGCTGTCCTCTGTCTTCTGTCCACCGTCAACTGCCTCAGTGTGTGGGGTGTAAAACATCACTGAACTGGCGAGGTGCCAAAAAACAAGCTGTAAATCTCACACACACACACACACACACACACACACACACACACACACACACACACACACACACACACACACACACACACACACACACACACACACACACACACACACTAATGCATTAGTGCAGGGGTCAAGGTATTCCTAACATCAACGCAACAAGAGACTAAACGTCTCCTCTCAGCCATTTTTTTTATTTCTGCTGCATTCTCTGTCGCCTTTTTCTAAAGAGCTCAACATTAAAACGATTAGGTATAAAACTGGCCTTTATTTTTTTACACAAATGTGAAGGAATATACAGACCTGTTACTCTCACTGAGCTTGTATGTAAGATATATAGGTTTCATTGTGGTGCAGCTCCAACTATTTAATACTTGTTCAATAAACAATCCACTAAAGAAAGCACGATGCATGAAGTAAATCAGAAATGTGACCTCTGTAGATAGCGGTGGAAGATGAAGATATCATAAATAAAGTAATTGTCTTAAAATGCCAGATATCTCCCAATACCATCAACCCAAAGATATCCACTCTGACATAAACAAGATCATTTTTCATATTTGAGAGCAGCATTTTTCTATGAAAATGGCTTCAACGATTAAAAAAACGTGACCTTTTTTTCCTGACATTCGACCAATCGTGGCAGCTCTAGCGTTCCCCATTGTGTCCGCGCTTCTTACAGCTTCAGGTGAGATGGATTCAAATTATTTTAATGCCACTTTGAATTAGATTTAAGTCAACATTCACATTTAAATACACACCTAAATGGAGTTGGATCCACTATCTGTATCTACTTAGAAAGACATTAGAATAGGAATTAGACTTTTGAAAGGCTCCAAAGGAACCCTGGTGTTCCCTCATGCTGCGATAAGCCAGTAACTTAACATTTATTTAAATAAAAACCAACTTTAGGATCGGGACTGATTGTATAAACGATTCCTTGTGAATGGGTTTAGAGATTTTAATCCTGCTGTCACTTGTAATTACACATGTAAGTTGATTCTGCATCTGTAGGAGAAGTCTGCGGCTCTTACTGGTTCACAAAGAACCAATAATTGTGAACTGGGAGCCGACGGCCACGAATAGACATGTTGGCTCTTGGTCAGCGGAGGAATGTTAACACTATGTTGTTTTTTTGTCAAGTTAGAGTGGATACTGATGTGTTTTGGGACCACTCCTTATGATCAGTCACCCCAGCCCCCTCATCACATCCAGGAAAAGACTCCTTTAAAAAAAGAAATCACCACACCCTGGATTGCAGGCATTGAAGGGGCGTACAAAGCTCTGCATGGCCTGATATAACTCCTAATTGTCTCAAATTAAAAGTCTGTATGTTTACGTATGTGTGATTCAACGGTAGCAGAGATATTTCCTTTAACTAGAAACAAACAAATACAAAACAAACAAACTCCCGCTGTGGCATAAGGTCGGAAATCTTACGCAGGAATAGAGTGTGTGCTTTTATTTCCTTAGGTTTTAACAATCAGACAACACGATTACTTTTATTTCCTCTCTTGCTTTGTAGCTTGACTTGATAAATAAATACAAATAAGCCTTTACGGAGCCAAATCCCCCGTTCACCATTAAAAACCTAATAACCTGGAGCCTGAAGCTGCCTTCAAAATAAAAGCATTTCTCAAATAAAGATAAATAATGATCGAATGGCTATAGTGTAAAAACAGTCGTTACCTATTATGTTTTATAAATCAATGCATAGCTTCTTCTTCTTATGTCTTACAAGCAGATATTTGGGAGTATATATCCAGACTACAATTTAAATAATGGCGTTATGTGTGATTCAACTATAGCAGGGATTTCCTTTAACTAAAAACAAACAAATGAAATAACAAACTAAAAAACAAACATGGCATAAGGTCGGAAATCTTAGGCAGGAATAAAGTGAGTGCTTTTATTTCCTTACGGCCCGTCCACACGGCAGCGTGCGTTGAAGCTTGCCGGTGGGCGTGTCTGGAGCGCGACCAACAACCAATCACATTAATCTCCCGCCCCGGACACACAAGCACGCGGTTTGATTGGCTAGCGCTTGTACCGGCATATGATTTGATTGGCTGATGCTTCCGTCGAAGCTTCAAAGGTTGAACTTTTCAAGCTTTGGAAGCGAGCAGCGGAGGCAAAGCGATGCGACGGAACCACAATGCAGTTCGGCAAAGCCTGACGTCACCCCATTCAAAGTGAATGGGAAACGCTGCCGTGTGGACGGGCCGTTAGGTTTCAAAAGACTTTTAAACTTCCTCTCTTGCTTTGAAGCTTGATAAATGAAAATAAGCCTTTACGGAGTCAAATCCCCCGTTCACCTGTCTACCATTAAATACCTAATGACCTGGAGCCGGAAGCTGCCTTCAAAATAAAAGCATTACTCAAATAAAGATAAATAATAATAAAGTTGCGGAACAGCAAGAAAAAAACAGTCTTTACCTATTTTATAAATCAATGAATAGCTCCAACCATACGTGCCTCTGTTACTGTGCTTTATGTATTTAACTTGTGTTGCAGCCAAATACTTGGGCGTATATATCCAAACTACACTTTAGCTAATGGCATTATAATATTCAACAAAAAGCATGGTATAGTCAAAGAAAAGTATACAGTATATGGAGTAAAAGTACAAAGCAGCAGAAAATGGATGACAAGTACCTCAAAATGGAACATAAGTCCAGTTCTTGAGTAAATCTACTTTCCACCTCTGGTTGTATAAATATATATATATATATATATATTTATGTGCATTTCCTGCTCCTGCTGCAGAACAGGAGTCTGTTTCCTCTCAGGCTGTTACAGGTTTCCTGATGATCACATTATGAACACATGTGCCTGCCTGGCATCGCGCCACATCAGGGATAAGAATTAGAAAGATGACCAGAAGTGATCTGGAGCTGCTCAGCAGGGGGTCCAAGTGTAATAAAGGGGGTCAAACTGTAATAAATACTCCACACACCACGTCTATTGTTGAGAATGAACTGTTTCATGTTTTGTTTCGTAGTTCTTGGGAAGTAATCGACATGATGGGTTTAACTTTTTACTCCACATTAAGGGTTTTACATAATCTGCATAAACCCTTATTTTACAATACTTATATAGTGATGCAGTGATGACGTATTTTTGTAGGCCAAACAGGAAGTTAGCATGGCGAGGACTGCAACAAAAAGTCAATGAGATTCTAAATACTGCAAAAAGATAGGAGGTCATAGGTCAGTCTATAAGGGCTGCTTAAGTGTAGAGCTGCCAGATATCCAGATATCCTGATAATCGGTTTGAGTTATTAAAAACATCTAAATGCTTTGATTGTAGTTTTTAAACTGAATACTGATTGGTTTCTAGTAAATAGAATATCTTTGAGTCGTGCACGAACCAAGACATTTCAGCAGGTCAGAGTGGGTTTAAGGGAAGTATTACTTTTCCTTTCAGAGACACACTTGAGCTGCGAAGGTGAATTTACTTGCTTTCACATAATTATTCCATTGATTGCCAATTTATTTTATAATGGAGTCGCTTTGAGTTACGTTCAAAGAAAAACTATTCAGATTCAAGCTTATTAAACGTGAATATGTTTTGGTTTCTTTACAGTAAACAGAGCATCTTGGAGTTGTGGACAAAACAAGACATAACCTGGAGCTTTGAGAAGCATTTCCAAACATTTAACCTACAGGAAAACCACATATTTTAATTTACTATTACTGTTAGTTTGTAAATAGTAAGTACATTTACTCAAGTACTGTACTTAAGTACACTTTGAGGTACTTGTTCCCTACTTCAGTTTTTCCATTTTATGCTTCTCTACAGTTCAGAGGGAAATGGTGTACTTTTACTCCACTACATGTATTTAATATCTTTAGTTACTTTAAGGATTTGGATTAAAATAACTTTTACTCAAGTACAACATCTGAGTACTTCTACTTTTACTACAACATCTGAGTACTTCTACTTTTACTACAACATCTGAGTACTTCTACTTTTACTACAACATCTGAGTACTTCTACTGTTACTACAACATCTGAGTACTTCTACTTTTACTACAACATCTGAGTACTTCTACTTTT